ACAGACAGACAGACAGACAGACAGACAGACAGACAGACAGACAGACAGACAGACATAAAGTGAATTTGATAACAGGACACGTATTTTCATTTTTATAACCAATTTGCTCATGAGTACCGTATTACAAATTTTTATTGTCATCCCAGGTCTATGCTGGAATATTCAATTTGTGCTCTATCTGTTACTTGAGACATTTTCTATGTAAGCTGATACTAAACAAATTGTTTTCTTTATCTGTCCTCGCGCTTGAGACAATTATTTTAAATAAGAAATCGCTGACACAAATAAATGTAATGTTAGAGAGGATTAGGTATAGGTTTCAATTATGTTTGTCTGTCTGTCTGTCTGTCTGTCTGTCTGTCTGTCTCTCCGTCTGTCTGTCCGTCTGTTTGTAAACATTTTGATGTCTATAAATTACATAATCTGTAACATTTCAAACTTTTACAAGTACAAAATATTAAATAAACTAATAAATTAATAAAGGAATAAATCAAGACATAAACAACCTTTTAAAAAAATAGCAATAATTTTAAAAATACAGACAGAAAGAAAGAAAGAAAGAAAGAGAAGAAAAGAATGACAGAAGGAATGGAAAAAAGAAAGAAAAGACACAAAAGCAAATTCATTGTCACTTCAAATTAGAGTAAGCTGAAATTCAAGAGTGGGTTAACTTCGGCCCACGGGCTGAAACTGGCCCGTGACGTTTCAGTCTGGTCTGCGAGTCAACCCTGTAGAATAACATATGACGAATGTGGTTTGCGGTGAGTAGATAATTAGCTCTAGAAAAGACTATCTGTCTCGAAATATAAAGCCAATAACTTGTCGCTGAGATCGAAGGAATAGATACCATAAAAAAAAAAAATTAAGTTATATCATGAAATTAAATGCCTTTAGGTGACATACTAAACTTAAGTGTCCGTTTTAACCTCGTTTTCGAGAGCTTGATTAGTTCAATAGGTTTGATCCAATTTTCTCCAGCTTTGGTTGGCAAGAAATTTAGAATTGCTTAATCCGGGCCTCGACTTTTTAAGCATCTGCCCATATCGGCTGTGAAACCTATTATGTTACATGGATGGCGGCTAGAGCTCCGCTTTTGTTGTTGTTGTTGTTGTTTTTTTGTTTTTTTTT